TGAACAGGGTGCCTGTGTGGCTCAGTTGGTTAAGCATCTGCCTTCGGCTCAGGTCGTGATCTCAGGGTGCTGGGATCAAGTGCCCATCAGGCTCTCTGCTCAGCAGGGAGCCTGCTTCTTCCTCTCCCATTCCCCCTGCTTATGCTCTCTCTCTCTCTGTCAAAAAAGTAAATAAAATCTTAAAAAAAAACAAAAACAGAAAAATACTGAACAGATGCTACAGGGTTTCCTTATTACCTCTTTTTCACCCCCCTCCCTATGGTTGTCCCTCTTATTAACATCATGCATTAGTATAGTACATTTGTTATAATTAATGAAGAAATATATGTTATTATGAACTTAAAAGTTAATGTTTTATTATATTTTATTAACTACAAATAAAATGAAAAAGTCATGTTTTTTTCAAGTTTCCTTAGTGTTTACTTCATGCCTTTTTTGTGTCTCATGATCTCATCCAGGACATTGTGTTACATTTAGTTGTCATTTCTTGGCCGGTCATTTTCTCAGACCTTCCTTGCTTGTTTTTGCTGCTCCTTTATTTTAAAAAAGTTAATTGCATAAAACATCCAATGTAATTTTTAATACTTGGAGTGAAAGTGGGAACCTTTTTTTTTTTCTATCCTGACCATAAGGGGGAATACTTCCTAAATCCTAAAGTATGATGTTTGCTATAGATTTTGATAGGTACTTTATCAGATTAAGGAAATTCTATTTTCTTGTCTAAGAATTTTTGTCATGAAAAAGTAAGGGATTTTTTTTTTTTTTTTATTCATGAGAGACAGAGGGAAGGAGGGGGAGAGAGAGAGAGAGAGAGAGAAAGAAGCAGAGGGAGAAGCAGGCACCCAAGGAGCAGGGAGCCCGATGCGGGACTTGATCCCAGGACCCTGGGATCATGACCTGAGCCGAAGGCAGACACTTAACCATCTGAGCCACCCAGGCACCCGAAAAAGTAAGGGATTTTATCAAGGCTTTCTGCATCCATTAGGCCACAAAATTTTTTCTTTAATCTGTGTATTGTGTTGAATTACATTAATAGATTTTCTGATATTAAACTATCCTTGCATTTAAAGCACAACTGGTTATGATATATGGCCATTTATATACCAGTATACATGCATATGCACACACATACATATCTATTTACATAGTAACATTATAAGACATATATTATGGATAAATAATATGTGATGGATTTAGTTTAGTAATCTCTTTAGGATTTTTCCATTTATATTCATGATGAGATTGCATATAATTATCTAGGACTTTTTGTTTTCCTGGAGGTGTGTGTGTATGGGTTTTTTTTTTTTTTTTTTAAATAAACTCTACCCCCAATGTGGGGCTCAAACTCACGACCCTGAGATCAAGAGTATGTTCTACTGACTGAGCCAGCTAGGTGCCCCTCTGTTTTTGTTTTTTTTTTTGGTACATATGTATAATAGATTTTTCCTTCGCTCTCTTAATATTTTTAATTAGGCTTTAGTTGGTCTTTGTCTTTCTGCTTTGAGCCTGTAGGATATTCATGAAATATGTCTTCTGAAAATATCTACTCTTGTCTCTCTCTCTCTCTTTTTTTTTTAAAGAATGTATTTATTTTTTGTCACAGAGGGAGAGCACAAGCAGGGGGAGAGGCAAGTAGAGGGAGAAGCAGGCTCCCCACTGAGCAAGGAACCCAGTGTGGACCTGATCCCAGGATTCCAGGATCATGACCCAAGCCGAAGGCAGATGATTAACCAACTGAGCCACCCTCTACTCTCCTTTTAAATTTGAATTCTTCTAGTTTAATATTTAAAGTTATAGAATTTTGCGGGTTCCTGGCTGGCTCAGTCAGTAGAGTGTGTGACTCTTAATCTCAGGGTTGTGAGTTCAAGCCGCATGTTGGGTGTGGAGCCTACTTAAAAAAAATTAAAAATTAAGTTTCAGAATTTTCTCACTGTTGGATCTGTGTACTGCCTACAAAGGTCATCATCATTTGTAATGGTTACTATTTATAACTAAGTCTGGTTTTTACTTTGGAGTGGAAGGTTGCTTAACCTTCAAGAACTTTTTGAGCATTTTTATGATTGGCAGATTTACTATTACTATTGTTTAAGTTGTGCTTGACTTCACATTATTCCCTATTGGAGTTAGTAATAGCAGTATCTACCTCTGATATTTGCATCATAGTTTATTGCCGGTAAAGTACTTCACATGTAAAAGTATATTTAGGTACAAAAGTGTTTTGTATTTTGTATTCAACTACTTGAAATGCCCTTTACCATTAATACTCCTATGTAAGCCACCATAAACCTTTGTCTGGATTATTGCAGTAATTAGTCTTTCCTTCTTGTTCCCTATAGTTCATCTCACACAGCAGCCAGAAAGACTTTTAAAGTGTAATCAGGGGGCACCTGGGTGGCTCAGTCATTGGGCATCTGCCTTCGGTTCAGGTCATGATCCCAGGGTCCTGGGATCAAGCTCTACATCAGGCTCCCTGCTTGGCGGGGAGCCTGCTTCTCCCTCTCCCACTTCCCCTGCTTGTGTTCCCTGTCTAGCTCTCTCTCTCTCTCTCTCTCTCTCTCTCTCTCGTCAAAAAAAAAAAAGTGTATTCAAGTCATAACCCTTTTGTGTTTAAAATTATAAATGGCTTCCCAATACACTAGAATAAAATCCAAGCTCTTTACCATGATATACAAACTCTGTCAAGGCCTTTTTGTACATAATGGGTACTCAAGAACTATCTGCTGAAATTGCACTACTGGGTATTTACCCCAAAGATACAAATGTAGTGATCCAAAGGGGTATGTGCACCCCAGTGTTTATAGCAGCAATGTCCACAATAGCCAAACTATGGGAAGAGCCAAGATGTCCATCAACAGATGAATGGATAAAGATGTGGTGTATATACAATGGAATATTATGCAGCCATCAAAAGGAATGAGATCTTGCCATTTGCAACGACGTGGATGGAACTGGAGGGTGTTATGCTTAGTGAAATAAGTCAATCAGAGAAAGACATGTATCATATGACCTCACTGATATGAGGAATTCTTAATCTCAGGAACAAACTGAGTGTTACTGGAGTGGTTGGGGGTGGGAGGGATGGGGTGGCTGGGTGATAGACATTGGGTAGGGTATGTGCTACGGTGAGCGCCGTGAATTGTGCAAGACTGTTGAATCACAGATCTGTACTTCTGAAACAACGCAACATATTTTAAGAAAAAAGAAAAAGAAGAAGATAGCAGGAGAGGAAGAATGAAGGGGAATAAGTCAGAGGGGGAGACGAACCAGGAGAGATGATGGACTCTGAAAAACAAACTGAGAGTTCTAGAGGGGAGGAGGGTAGGGGGATGGGTTAGCCTGGTGATGGGTATTAAAGAGGGCACATTCTGCATGAAGCACTGGGTGTTATGAACAAACAATCATGGAACACTACACCAAAACAAATGATGTAATATATGGTGATTAACATAACAATAAAAAATTAAAAAGATGTGGTGTGTGTGTGTGTGTGTGTGTATATATATATATATATAATGGAATATTATGCAGCCATCAAAAAACCCCCACGAAATCTTGCCATTTGCAACGACATGGATGGAACTAGAGGGTATTACGCTAAGCGAAATAAGTCAATCAGAGAAAGACATGTATCATATGATCTCACTGATATGAGGAATTCTTAATCTCAGGAAACAAACTGAGGGTTGCTGGAGTGATGGGGGATGGGAGGGATGGGGTGGCTGGGTGATAGGCATTGGGAAGGGTATGTGCTGTGGTGAGTGCTGTGAATTGTGTAAGACTGATGAATCACAGACCTGTACCTCTGAAACAAATAATACATTTCATGTTAAAAAAAAGTAGGAAGGGAAAAATGCAGGGGGGAAATTGGAGGGAGAGACAACCATGAGAGACTATGGACTCTGAGAAACAAACTGAGGGTTCTAGAGGGGAGGGGGGTGGGGGGATGGGTTAGCCTGGTGATGGGTATTAAAGAGGGCATGTATTGAATGGAGCACTGGGTGTTATACATAAACAATGAATCATGGAACACTACATCAAAAAAATAAATAGAAGAAAAAAGAAAAAAAGAACTATCTCCTGAATGAGTGACTCATTCATTCTCAGTGTTAGAGAGCTTTGTCTTGCCCAGTACAGCAGAGGATAATAATAAGTGGCAGAGTCAGGATGAGAACTCCAGAACTCATATTTGCCAATTGCTGGACCAAATTATGTCTTCTGAATCCTCTAATAGGCTCTGATTAAACTATTCTGTTTTTTGAACTTGTACCTATGTTAACTTGTTTATGCCTTTCTCTTCTTGTTTTGCCTTTGCAGATCTTGCCCATCTTCAAGACTTTCATTTAGTTCTGCTCCCTTTTATAGAACTTCCTCTTCTTTTTTTTTTTAAATGGCTTCAGTAATACGTATTTGTTTTTTTGGTTGTGATGGTGGTGTTGGGTTGGGGAGGCTAGAATATAAGTGGGAAGGGGACTCTAGTAGGTTATTAGATGTCGTATTACATGCTTAAATAAGTAATTTCACTTCCCACATGACCTTGTGAGGGAAGAAGCACTGTTAACGTTTTTAAAGATGAGAAAACTCCATTTCAGAGAGGTTTTCAGTTCCATCACCCAAATGGGGAAAATCTTTACGTTATCCATGAGAAAACTCAGAAGAATGAGTTTCCTAAGCACTCTAAGGCTCCTCTAAACTTTCTACAGCTGCCTGGCAGAGCTGGTACATATCCAGGTTCCCTTGGTCAAAACAATCTCTCTGCTGTCCTGCTTTTAGCCTGTTATATTGGGCAAGGGCCATATTTCATAGTCTGGCCTATATGTCAGGATCATACAGGGAAATCAGCAGGATGACTTGTTTCTGTTCAATAAAAATTTAACTCTAGTCAAACGCTAAACCTTTTTACAAGTAGCTGTGATTGTTTTTTTCCCCCTTGTATTTGGGCCTCTTATCTGTGTTGTTTTTTTTTTTGTTTGTTTTTTTCTCTTTCTCCTTTCTGTTTCTAGTATTCGATTCAAGAAGAAAGCCAGAGGAAGCCATTGCCCACTGCTGCCGCCCAGTGTTGTAAGTGAGAAACTTGTCTCTGAATGTCATTAATCACAGCTTTCTGTTAGTTCTCTAAATATGGCTTTTTTTGAGTTGGGGAGGGGGGAGATGTAAACAAAAGATATTCTGGAAGACACCTATTCAGGCCCATATCTCCAGTGGCTATCTAATCATTAGCTTTATGAAGAGTCCTTTTGGTTTTGTGTGGCTGTAGGCTGGGCAGTGGTGCTCATCTTTTATCTCCATTTGCTAGCTTTTACCATGGAGGAGTGATTTTTCCCATTTTATCCTGTTTACCTGTTACTGTTCTTTTAAAGCTCAGTTTAAATGTCATCACCCATGGGAAATCTTGCTGTTTCCTCCTTCCCCCATGTCTAGCTTAGGTGTCTCCTCTGCTTCCATAGTACCCTATGCATACGTTCATCATATAACTCGTTATATATTATAATCTATTAATATTTCTTTGACAACAGTTTTTATAGGCATAAACATTCTCCTATTTTATATTTCTAGACTCTCAATACCTGATACATAGTATAGTAAGCCTCAAGAAGTTTGATAAATGATTGAGTGAATTTGTCATTTCTCTTGAGATTAATTTATCCAGACTACAAAGATTCATTCTTGAAATGAGCCGTGTATTGTTGGTATAGTTCTACCTTCTCAGTTTCTATCAAAATAGCCTGAGGAGACACTAAAGGACTGACTGGGAGTCTATTGTCTTTCACTTTTTCAATGGGTGTGTGTGTGTGTGTGTGTGTTTTGTGCTTCTTTTGTGTTACTGTAGTTTTTCTGAACCAAATGCCAAACTCTTAACCACTGCTGGTTGAAAGTGGTAGTTGTACTAGTTATTTTAGCAATAGTGGTAATAATAACAACCATAGTAACTAACATATTTTGAGGTCTTACAGTATGCCAGATGCTGCTATCAGAACTAAAATGTACTAATTTATTCTTCACAATAACCCTAAGACATAGTTTTTACTGTTGTCCCATTTTTCAGATGAGGAAACTGAGGCATAAAGAGATAGAGTAATTTGCCACAAATCACACAGGTAGTAGGTGGTGAAGTAAATAATCTAACACAGACAACCTGATTCCATAGCCTGTGCTTGGAACCATTATAACCTTCATAGTTTCTGATAAGGAAAACTTCCATTCAAGGTTTGTAAATCCATTGGTTGTCTTACATATTATAGGCTGCTTTCCTGATAAAAGGTAAGACCAATGGCAGACCTCAACATTTTTTCTTTCTTTAAAGAAAGTTTGCTATTTTTCATATGACTTATTGCTAACTTTTTTCCCATATAGGACTTTGAATTTATCAAACATTTAGAGTCATAGGAGACCAGAAGAATCTGAATTGAAAACCAGGTTGTGAATTAAAGTCTATAGGTCCTTTCCAGAACTCATAGTAATGAGCTAATTTTGACCTTTTAAATCTTTAAAAAAATTTTTTTTGAGAGAGTGTGTGTGTTTGAGGGGAAGGGGGAGGGGCCAAGGGGGAGAGAAAGATTTTTTTTTTTTAAAGATTTTATTTATTTATTTGACAGAGACAGAGATAGCAAGAGCAGGAACACAAGCAGCGGGAGTGCAAGAGGGAGAAGCAGGCTTCCCGCTGACAGGCAGCCCGATGCGGGGCTCGATCCCAGGACCCTGGGATCATGATCTGAGCCGAAGGCAGACGCTTAATGACTGAGCCACTCAGGCGCCTGGAGAGAGATTCTTAAGCAGGCTCCATGACCAGGACAGAGCTCCATGTGGGGCTTGATCTCATAACCCTGTGATCATGACCTGAGCTGAAATCAAGTCAGTTGCTTAACCGACTGAGCCACCCAGGCACCCCTGATCTTTTTAATCTTTTTTTTTTTTTTTTTTTTTTTGACAGATTGGGAGCACAAGCAGGGGGAGAGGGAGAAGCAGGCTCCCCACTGAACAGGGAGCCCGACGTGGGGCTTGAACCCAGGACCCCGGGATCATGACCTGAGCCAAAGGCAGGTGCCCAATGATTGAGCCACCCAGGCACCCCTGACCTTTTTAATCTTTTTAAACCTTTCTCCAGGACTGCTAATGCGATGTGAAATGGAGTGATTGAAGTTTCACTTCCCATTCCTTCCTGCACCCATTTGATGAAGTGCAGTTGAAGTGATTAGAGATCAAATGCCAAGAGAGCTGGTGGAAATAAAAGGCCATAAATAATCAACAGGTTTGGGGCGCCTGGGTGGCTTAGTCAGTTAAGCGTCTGCCTTCAGCTCAGGTCCTGATCCCCGGGTCCTGGGAGCAAGTCCTGTATCGGACTCCTTGCTCAGCGGGCTCAAGCCCGCTTCTCCCTCTGCCCGCTTTTCCGTCTGCCTGCTTCTCCTTCTGCCTGCCACTCCCCCTGCTTGTGCTTGCTCTGTCTCTCTGACAAAAAATAAATGAAATCTTTAAAAAAAAATCAAGTTTAATAATTTTCAAATGTTTATTGGCTAATATATTTTTCTGTGAATAGTCTGTTCCTATCTTTTGATTCTTCCCTCATATGTTATTTTGAAAAATTTAAAACGAAAGTTGAAAGCACAGTATAATAAGCACCCATTTACCCTTTACTAGATTCAGTGGGAAACATTTTGCCACATTTGCTCTCACTTGTCCCCACCTCTCTCTCATGTCTTTATCTCTTTCTCTGTATATACATACACAAATTTTCTGAATCATTTTGATATAATCTTCAGGCTTAATGACACATCAGCATGTATCTCCTTACAGCTAGGACAGTCTACATAACCAAACTACCATGATCAGAATTGAGAAGTTTAACACTGACACAGTAATATTATCTAATAAAAAGTGCATATTAAGAATTCCCCAGTTGTCCCCCAAATATTTTTATAGCTCTTTTTTCCTCCACTATGTGATCCAGTCAGGAATCACACATTTTATTTGGTTGTCCTGACTTTTTAATATACTTTAATACTTATAAAAAAAATCCTTGCCTTTTTGGTCATTTATGACAGTGGTATATTTTTTTTCCAATTAGAAAATCATTCGACGGGTGCCTGGGTGGCTCAGTCATTAAGCGTCTGCTTTCGGCTCAGGTCATGATCCCAGGGTCCTGGGATCAAGTCCCGCATCGGGCTCCCTGCTCAGCAGGAAGCCTGCTTCTCCCTCTCCCACTCCGCCTGCTTGTGTTCCCTTTCGCTGTGTTTCTCTTTGTCAAATAAATAAAAAATCTTTAAAAAGAAAATATCATTTAACAGTTCAATTTTTGGGACTTTAAGTAATCAAAAAGCAGATAAACATTTGTTTATAAAGATGTTGATTACAGAATAATTAAATAACAAAGTTTAAAAATGATATAGTTTTTGTTTTTTTTTTTAGATTTTTTTATTTATTTATTTGAGAGAGAGAATGAGATAGAGAGAGAGAGCATGAGACGGGGGAGGGTCAGAGGGAGAAGCAGACTCCCCGCTGAGCAGGGAGCCCGATGTGGGACTCGATCCTGGGACTCCAGGATCATGACCTGAGCCGAAGGCAGTCGCTTAACCAACTGAGCCACCCAGGCGCCCTAAAAATGATATAGTTAATAGTAAATGATAATCACAAAACTGAGTATTATGCATTAATTTAAAATTATGCTCTGAGGGGCGCCTGGGTGGCTCAGTTGGTTAAGCGACTGCCTTCGGCTCAGGTCATGATCCTGGAGTCCTGGGATCGAGTCCCACATCGGGCTCCCTGCTCAGCAGGGAGTCTGCTTCTCCCTCTGACCCTCTTCCCTCTTGTGCTCTCTATCTCTCATTCTCTCTCAAATAAATAAATAAAATATTTTTTAGAAAATAAATAAAATTATGCTCTGAATAATAAAAGGGACTGTTTATGAAATTTTAAAGGGGCCCCTGAGTGGGTCAGTTGGTTAAGCATCCCACTCTTGATTTCAGCTCAGGGTAGTGAGATCGAGCCTGCTTGGGATTCTTTCCCTCTCCCTCAACCCCTCCCCACTTACACACTCTCTCTCTCAAAATAAAATCTTAAAAAAAAAAAAGAAACTTTACATTAAAAAGTATATAGGGCGCCTGGGTGGCTCAGTTCGTTAAGCGACTGCCTTCGGCTCAGGTCATGATCCCGGAGTCCCGGGATCGAGTCCCACATCGGGCTCCCGGCTCAGCGGGGAGCCTGCTTCTCCCTCTGACCTTCTCCCCTCTCATGCTCTTTCTCTCTCTCTCTCTCTCTCTCTCTCAAATAAATAAATAAAATCTTTTAAAAAAAAGTATATAAAACTGGGGCAGCTGGCTGGCTTAGAGGAATGTCAGAGGACTGTTGATCTTGGGGTTGTAAATTCGAGCCCCATATTGGGTGTAGAGATTATTTAAAAATAAAATCTTTTAAAAAGTATATAAAACTTTCTGTATATGTGTGTATATATGCCAGTTTCAACTAACAGGGACAAAGAAGAAAGGAATGAAGCTCTTGGACTTGGATTCTGCAGGATCAGACCATACCATTATTTGGCTGTGAACATGTGCTTTTCTTGAAGAAAGGGAGGAATGACCTGGAAGGTGATTCAGAGAATATCAGGGCTGCCACTCCCAGCACAGGCCCAGTGGGATGCTGTTTCCTTCTGTTTCAGAGGGAGGCCACTGAAAAGAGCCATGGGGGCAGAGCTATACTGGAGAGCTGTGGGGGTGATGGTGCTTACCCCAGTGGGTCTGGAAGTTGGGACATCAACCAAAGAGAATTATTCTACAGCCTTAAGATCTCATGTAACTTGCCTTGCTAGGTTTGGACTTGCTTGGGACCTGTCAGCCCTTCCTTCTTTTCTTTTTCTTTCTTGTAGAATGGGAATCTCTCTCTTTTTTTTTTTTTTTTAAGGTTTTATTTATTTATTTGAGAGAGAGAGAATGAGAGATAGAAAGCACTAGAGGGAAGAGGGTCAGAGGGAGAAGCAGACTCCCCGCTGAGCAGGAAGCCCGATGCGGGACTTGATTCCGGGACTCCAGGATCATGACCTGAGCCGAAAGCAGTCGCCTAACCAACTGAGC